AGAGGGGGGGAAAAGAGAGAAAGAGAGAGACAGAGAAAAGCAGAAGCATGGAAAGTGGGGCAAAAAAGAGGACTGTGTTGGTTGCTTGGGAGTGGGTGACAGTGGGTCACATGAATTTTCTTCTGCAATCGAAAGATTAAAGGAGGGGGTGCAGTGAGTGTAGTAAGACCCTCTGCCTAGTGCCAAAAGGTGGGTACATTGGCTTTTGATGCCATTCCTTGTTTGTCAGCGCAAGATTGCCAACGTCCCCTTCACGAGAATGACCATTTCCAACTCTCCTTGTTTTCTTCTGCTCTTCATCTGTTTGTCATCTTCTCCTCTTGGAATGTGTGTTGGATACTCTCTCCTCTTCTCTCCAAGTTTACAAAGGAAGGATGGAATAATTTATTAACTTCGAGTAGATTTTGTTTACCTTTCAGTTCTGAATGATGAAAATCAGCAAAAAAGAAATCATCACAATGACTCTCTTCAATGCACTCGGCAACCATTTTTTTCTTCAACAGTACAAAAGACATGATTCCAAAGCAAGAAAGAAAAAAGGAAAAGAAAAAGAAAGAATAATAAAATATGTAGCGAGAGAGAATCCCCTTTTTTATTTTTTTTCATGGCCCATGCTAGCTAGAGAGCTGCGAACCAACTAGCCATCACTAGCAAATCATAATTTAAACTTTGGAAATTCTTCTCGCATGATCCAACCTAAGCAAACATCTCATCTCTCTCTCGCTCTCTCTCAAGCCTAGGAAACCTGACATATATATATATTTATTTATGTTATATAACCCAAAGACATATTTCTTCTTATTTCCTCCATTAAAGATCTCTTCATGCCCCTCCATGATGCGGTTCTTCACTTGATATAGTTTTACTCTAATACACCATATCAAAAAGCTTGTTGTAACTTGGAGGAAATGGGGGCAACTCTTTCCAAATTCTGGACACCGTGATGATGATCATGATAATGAGTTCCAAAATAATCCATTGAAATGTTGTTACTCAAGCCATGGCCAAAACCCGGATTGATCCTCTATAGTGCAGAACATGTTGCTGAGGCTTTCCTCTTTAACCATTTGGATTTGATCCATCTTTTGGGGTTGAAGGTCTGGCCTTGATGAAGCGTTTTGGAATAGTTGGGCGACGGTTCCTGTCGGCCTCACTGATGTTGGGAAGAGGGTTCTGCTCGTTGGGTGAGTGGATAGAGGGCTGTCGATTGCTGGCGTCCTTGAGATATCCAACTTGATATCTGAGCTGTTTTCACTTCTGTTACTGCAAGAACCTTCAGTTTCTTTATTGAGATTGATGGATTCAGTTGGTTCTCTGCTTTTCAGCGCCATTATCTGCAACCCACAAATTTGATTTGACCCAATCAAACATGAAGCATGTTACACAAGAGTACTAAGTATAACCTAATATTCCCTTAGCTCCTGTCGATTTGAAAGGGTTGGAATTGAAAATTTGATTCTGTCAGCTTCAGAATAAAATAATGGGATCCTCGTCAGGTTTATGGTTGCTTGTAAGAAAGATCTCTCATTCATGGTCATGATGACCCTGACCTTGAATCTTTGATTAACCAACCCATCATGATCAAAAAGCAAACATGCGACAAAGAAAAAGATGATGTTCAAAGCCAATTGGTTCCAGAAAGTACTGGCAGAAAATATTGTTCTGAAAAATCATGATCCCATGGAAAGTCAATCAAGCTTGATTAATAGAGAAGAAGAGATCATAATCTTCAAACTCAATTATGCAACATCATACTCGATTAATGCAATAGAAAACTTTGAAGTTTTTCTTTTACATAAAACAAAGACTTATTGATGAGAGAAAAAAACGAAAAAAGAAAACCCAGAAAGGATAATGAAAAAGGGAAATCATTACTTAAGATTACCTCTGCATGAAGCTTTTGGTTCTGAGCTTGGAGTGCATCATTATCTGCTTTGATTGCTTCGTACTGTCTCTTAAGGAGATCATAGTCTTTCTCTAGTTGCTTGGTTTTCCACCTAGCTCTCCTGTTTTGAAACCAAATAGCAATCTGCCTTGGTTGCAAACCAAGAGCCCTAGCAAGCTGCATTTTTCTCTCAGGTTCAAGCTTGTTACCCAACTCGAAGTTCTTCTCAAGAGTCTTTACCTGTTCCATGTTAAGCCTCCTCTTCTTTTCTCCTGCCTGTGAACCATCATCTGATAAATCATCCTCCCCATTTGCTTCTTCACACACATCTATCCCTGAAAATGACATTGATCTCTTCCCTAGAAATGATGCAACACCTATAACACCCATCATAGATTAGATAAAGTGATAAACAAACCCTTTTCTCCCAGAGAAAGTAGAGAGATCAGAGAGAGAAAAGAAAGATACATACCATGAAAGTCTTGGGGTGTGCATGAAGGTAGCAGTTGATTGATAGCAGTGGGGGGTTGATGGTCTTCCTCATGGGGAGTTTGAAGCATGAAATTTGCTTGGAAGAAAGCCATCCCATTGCAAGACATGACCCAGCAGATTTTTCTTAACAATCCTCCGATATGATATAATATCAAGAAAACTCTCTATTCATACTCTGATGGCTGTCATGTTCAAAAGAAAAAGAAAGGATATGCAGCAGATCCTGGGAGTAAGACACAGAGTTTTAATTTTAAGAAAAGCAAAAGAGAGATTTTGATATATCAGACTATAAGGAAAATATTAAGAATTTCTTGAATTGGAAGGTGATGCAGAGATTTGTGTAAAATAGATAGCTTATATACCTTATCAACTTCTAGGAAGAAACTACTTTTTCCTTTATACTATATATATATATATATATATATATATATATATCTATTTGAATTGCTGAGCAAATATATATATATATATATATATCTATTCTGAGAGAGGGAGAGAAAAAAAGAGATACATGATGACTCTCTATAGTTCCACTTCTCTTTATATGAGGAAGGATTTATTTTATTAACAAAAAAAAAGGGTTTTTTTAAAAAAAAGAAAAAAGAAAAATTGATTAACAATAAATAACATTTCATGAAATTTTGTTTGAATAATTGGAACTGTTTGACATATAGTTACAAAATTGAATGGGAAAATTGGAAAAACAAATTGAAGAAAAAGCCTAATAAACTAAACCTGGTAATGTGGCGACTCCTAAAGAACATTTGATGCGAGTAATTCCAATCCAAGTCCAATAATTTAAGGTCATTTTCATTGTATTAGTCTTTTTCCACACTTGAGAGACAAATAGTGGTGTTTTCTCAATAAAGACAGTTGTCTTTAGACATAAATAAAATTTTCAGGATGGGAAGCAAGCACTTTTCAAGAAGGTTGATTCCATATAGCTAAAAGGATAGACAATGTACACTTCATATTATAATATTCCCCTTCAATGTGAAGTGGGTGACTTTTAAAGAAGAAAAAATTATATTATGATTATTAAAATAAAAAAATAGTTAAGAATAAGATTTTTTTGTATTTAATACACTATTTTCATAGAATTCATATTACCTCAGCCGGTGCCACTATGCATTGATTAACATGTACCTTAAAACAAATTAAGAAAACCCCCGAGTGTGATCAGATGGGTGAAAAGAGTGTAGGGTTTTCTTGAGAGAAAGGAAATTTTGTGATGTGGGTGATATTTTATGTTGTCTTGGTTCTGTGAAGAAAAGAAAGGTTACTTAAGAGAAAAGAGAGATGAGTTGGATGTATCTTTAGGGTCTACAGGGTATTGCATTTGAGGGGGGAGAGAGAGAGAAGAGGCAGGAATCTAGGGATGGGTCCAATGAGGGGGGCAGGGGTTGCTACCTAACCCACCAACAGGTATCGTGCATTAGGACCAAGCCTCTTTCCCATCCATTATCCTTTCATCAGTTTCAGTCCTCTGTGCAAATGGCTCTGTTCGTATTTGAAAGAAAGAGAGAGAGAGAGAGAGAGAGAGAGGAGGTGGGTTTGAAAAGCCCAAGCAGAACTCCTGTTGCTAGGAACCCTACAAGAGCTGGTCTTTTTTGTCTTTGAGCCCCATCTGTCCATCTCTATCCCACTGCTCCTCTCTCTTCTGCCACACCATCATATGACTCATGCACTCACAGCTCATGTCCTATCCTCTATTTTTCCCCCTCTGAACGTCATTCTATTTATTTATTTATTTTTATATAAAAAAGAAGAAAGGAAAAAATCTCGCCTGTAAAACCATGCTAAAGCAAGATTCTTCTGCATGATGATCAAATGCGAAATCTGAACTTCCCCTAAACTTAACAAACTCATACAGGTTTCTGATTAGACATAGATGCTTCCACTTATCATTTCTTGTTCCAGGGAGTTGGATTTGGATTTAAGAGGCGGGTCATCCCCTTTTAGAAAACCAACTTTTTTCAACTTCTTTTGCATCCAAATCTGCTGGAGAATTTCTTCTTTTTACCCCCCTCCCCCATCATCAAAACTTTCATACATACTTCTACTGCTCATCTTTCAGATATCACCGCTTTATATGATCATAACCTACCAGAAAAAGTCAAATATGTTGTTTTCATACCGTCACAAGACTGTCCCCCCCTCCCCTTTCAAAAAAATCGTATGACTTTGCTCGAATGTTCTCTCCGATCCTTCATTTTTTTAACCTTACTGAACTGTTGGACTTACATCTGAAGATACTGTTGCGTAATAGTTTTGCTTTCTCTGGCTCGCTTTTCTGTTTTCTGGTTTTATAATTATTCTTTTGCTTAGCTTCCATTTATGGCTCCTACCACGATCATCAACTATTCACCGACCCCCTTCTCTCCCTTGAACAGAAACCCAAACAATATATACATATACATATATATGATTTTACAGTTCATTGTTTCCTTTGCATGTTGACAATATTCATTGAATCTGTAATTCTGAACTAGCTAAAACAGACCTTTATGAAGCTAACATGTTAACTATATACATACCCTAGCCCCGAAGAGTAAAAGAGCTTAAATTGAATTTGTTTAGAATCAAGGTGATTGCATTTGATGAAAGTACATATGATCTTTTCAAATGATTTTACTATAAGAAAAGAAAGAAACCCTTTTTTTCTGTTGCTCAAACATGGAACATGTCTACTTGGAAGAATCTAACATGCTATTCATAAAAGTTAAAAACAAAAAAAAAAACTATTTAGTTACCAAAGTTTTTAAAAAGGACAATGGAAAGGGGTAAATAAAAATACCCATACAGTGAATTTCTCCCTTGACCACAGTACAACACCAATAATGGGGTCATGAACAGAAAGTGAAAAAAAAGGAACTTGTCTTTCTGCAAAGGCCTGCAACCCACAAAGTTTTTAACCCATTCTAGCCCAAAACAGAATCTATCAGTGCTACAGAGAATTACTACAATCTTTTACCAGCTGATGACCCTAAAAGAAAAATCTGAACCTGAAAGTACCATTGAAGTAAATTTTCTGCCTTTGTGATCATTGCAGAAGGATGTAAAGATGTAAAATAAACTGTAAAAAATTTGCCCATCTGCATGCAGAATATTGAAAGCATATTGCCATTCTATTCAGGGGTGGATTTACTCAAGTTTTCACTGTTTTTCTTTTGAATTGTTCTGACCCTTTTTTCCCCCGCTTTGATTGTTTGTCACAGCTAGGAAAGAAAAATGGGACAGATAGGACCCATGAAAGGAATGAAGTATCCAACATCTGGCCCCAAAAGAGGTAAAACTTAGCCACAAGCATACACTGCCACAAAATTCATAGATGAGGCTGCCAATTTTTCCACTTAGTCTTTCAAGCGATTGAAGCTTAGAATTGAAAGGTTTGATCTTGACGTTGAGAAAAAAGAAAAGAAAAGATAAAGATGCTAGTGTCATTCACTCACCAAGTTTAACTTCTTTCTTCTTTTCTTTTTCTGTTAACAAGGTCCCCCCCACAATAGTACTCATGTAAAACATGCCTTAAACCCTAGACAACATCGATTACATTCAATTAAGTTATTGCAGTTCTGATTATATAAATTTTATTTAAATGTTACGGTGAAATATTTTGATCGAATACTAATTTAAATCTCATCATGTATAGATTTAATTAAATTTTCTATATTCAATTTTCTTCAACTATATATATGTTAATTGATGCTCATCTAGGAAATCTAGGCAAACACAAAAAAATAATAAAAATAAAAATGTTGGGAAATATTTTACTTGAAGTTTCAATGCCAAATATACTACCATTGATTGTCAATTTGCACTTATTGCATAATAATATAAGCAATTGAGTTGATTACCATTGTTTTCATTAATACTCATAACCAATCTTGACTTATATACACAAGTCCAATCTTATGATAAAAGGATTAACTTGATGTGAGACAAAGATTTTAGAGTTTTTTTTTCAAATTTAATTCCATATTAACATGACATAAATATAAATAGTATTTATATTGTCACTATAAGAAGGATTTTACATTCTGAATATTATATATATACATAGTTAATAGTATCGTAATGTAATTGTATTATTAAGAGTATCGTAATCAAACTGTATAATGATGATATAATCATTTTAACATATATGGTGACATAAACATCAAGAATTATTTACTCTTCCAAATATGTATTAAACAAGAAGAAGAAAAGAAAAGATAACCTACAAAGTTAATGAAACCCAACTTTTGATAAAAGTTTATGAAACCAGAAAAGCAAAAGAGGTTAGGTTTCAGGGCCATAGATTTTTGGTGATATGCAAATAGGAACATGTAGTGCATGCATGGGGGTGAAGGGAAAGGCTTCTATGGGTTTTTTTGTCTAGAGTGTGTTTTTTTTGATTGGAAAAATGATTAGCTGCTTTATTGTAACAGCTGGGGATGTATGTAAAGAGGAAAGCAGTGGAAAATGGGGATTGGGACCCACCAATCTGCATATTCGTTGATGGTAGGGTCCCATGTTGGTCCCAGTAGGTCCCTCTGGGTCCCATCAAAATACTGCTTTTTTTTTTTAGAAAAAAATAACATTGGCCAAAAGACAAGCCAAGGCCACTCTCTCACTGCCTTTCACATGACTTTATTAGTTGGAAGCTCCCCTCTACCCCATTTCCATGGGGTTGGATCCATGTTCTCAACTTGTTATCCCACATTTTTTTTCCTTTTTTTTCTTTTAACTTACTACTTTATTTTATGTATAATAATAAAAATAATTATATTTAAAAAAAGAATTAAAAAAGTAAAACAGAAGAGCTGAACCTTCCACTTTTCACCATGCCATCTTCCTTCTTCTTGGGGGGGGAGGGTGGGCAGCTTGCAATCCCATGTGCTAATCTTTGCTTGACGTCACCGGCCCCCTCTGTTTCTCCTTTCGGGTGATTTCCTTTTTCATTTTCTTTTATTTTAATTTTATTCTTTCTTTCCTCTAAATTTTGGATATTGCAATTTGACAGCGATTTGCCAACCACTGCTCCGGATTATTGATTTTATCATTTATTCCCTCATTTTCTTTTAATTATATTTTTAAATGCCTCAAAATTATTATATATTTTTTAATATTTTACATCAATTTTTTTTAATTCCATAAAAATCTAATAAGAACAATATTTTCCGTCGTGGCCATCCTTATCTTTTCCTCTCCAGACATGATTATCAAACTGCGTACTTCTCGAACTCGTCACAAATCAGAATAAAATATTATTATAGATATAGAGAGAGAGAAAATATATAAAAAATTTTTTAAAATGAGAAATATTTTGTAATGGCTGGACTTTTCTTGTCATAAATTGTCCATATTATATACAAAATATATAAAATATTTATATATATATATATATTT